GTGTGTAGCCAGGGCTCTGGGAGATGAGGACAGATGTGCTCTGCCATAGTAACATCCCATGGCTGCTCCCTCTCTTCCTCCCAGACTGTTCCTCATTTGCTTTTGAAAACAAATTCTCAGGCTGGATTTGGAAGGTAGCTCTTACATGAATGAAGGCTCTTCTATGTTCAGCAGAGAGAATAAGGGCCCCATTCCAGTTTTAGAGCTTCGACAAGACCCCCATTTTTAGCCTCAGTCTCCTTTCTTCTTGTGTTTTTACTGCTGTTTCTTTACCCACCCTCTCCACTGCATTTGGCAGGGCTGACTGATGTTCTCTGCAGTTGCAGCCCACTCTGGGATATTATTGTCTTCAGGTTCCTTTGCTCATTTTCTTAGATCTACACCCTTCTAATTGTTTTCCATCTTTTACAAATGAATTTAAATATTCATTCCCTATTAGCTTTCTTAGAGCCTCTTCTTTGTTGTGGATCTGCATTTGATTTATTCACATATTTTCATTCTAACAGAATCTCCACAGAGACAAGAAAACAATATGTATGTCCAATCTGCCCTCTTGAATAATTCTCCACTCTACCATTTCTCTTTATGCTTTAAAAATCAGAATCTTAAAGACATTATACACATGTATGGAATTATCACAATGAAATCTCCCTTGTATTATCAATGTATGCTGACTCAAAAATTAAAATAATTGAATTTTTAGTATAGGAAAATGCATTACAGTGACTCAGTAGCCTTGCTTTTCTTGTAGATCAAATTTTACAACATAAAAGACTATATATGACCTTCCTCAATTTATTTTGTGTCTTTTTTTCCTTTAGCATTTTCCCTTAACCTATTCTTTTTCTGCTAAAATCATATCATCTGAATTTTTCCCCTCAATATATATCTACATTTTATCAGAAATACAAATTATCTATATATATATAATAATTTGGATTATATATATTAAATTATATATATTATATATATATAATTTGTATATATATATTATATATATATATATACATATGGGGGAAATTCAGGTGAGATATATATTTATCATAACATATATATATATGTATATATATATATATATATATATATATATATATATATGTATATATGTATGTATGTATATTTACAGGGGATTTTGAGATAGGGTTTCACTCTGTAGCTCAGGCTGGTCTTGAACTCCTGATCTTCATGTCTCAGCCTCCTGGGTGCTGGACCCAAGCGTGGTCCCAAAATATTTTAAGCCTCTTTTGACACATTTTAATTATTTTATCCTTCCCATTTTTATTTATTTTGCAATATTTTTATTATTATGTTTTTGTTCCAACCCTGTTCCTTTATCTACATTTATGTCAGTTTTTTCAAAAGTATACTTTATGAGGGCTAAAAGTTTATTACTAGGCTTAAAATAGGATTTCAGTTTTGTTTATTTTCTATTTTCTTGTAGCCTTAGGTTATGAGGAAGTAGGAAAGAACAAAAACTAATCAGCTCCACTCTATCCTGGCAAGTAGAAAAAGGAAGACAAAGAGCATTGTTCTTATTTGTGTTTGGAAAGTCTTTTCATCCTCCTTTGTGTTGTGGAAAGATAGCTGGACCAGACAAAAGAAGAACTGAGTCAGAGTTCTTACTCTGACTCCAATTAGCTGTGTAAACTTAAACAAAAAAGGCCTTTTGTGGTCTGAAAAAAGGAAGAGAGAGACTTGAACTAAATGATTTCTTGAATCTTTTTCTGGATTAAGAAAAAATCCATGATACATATTTTGTGATTCTCTTCTTCACTATTTTAGCACTTCTTTCTCCATATTTAAAATTTTTTCTTCTAATTGCTCTACTCTTTTACTTCTTCTTGTTCCAGATTCTCCAATATTGCTCTTTGTTTTATCCCCTTTTTATTTTTTTTTCCAACTCTTTGTTCTTCTTTCCTTTTAGCTAGCCTATTCTTCTTATATACGTTTTCCTATGCTGGGATAATTAAAACGCTCATTAGAGTATTATATTAAAACACCCAGTAAGTAAATGAGAGGAGCAACCTTAGTTCAGAATATTTCCTTTTTCTTAAATGGATGCATGACTGTAGCATAAGACAAGAACATAAGACAAGAATTTATAATCTAGCACCACACCTGACAGAAAAATGTTTTGAAGTCTTTTGCATTCTGGTGATTTTTTTTATTTTGCATTCTTATTTTGTTTTATTTTATCTAAACAGAGAACGGACATTCTTTGAAGTCTAGTCATGATCACTGCAGATGAACCCAATGCACCAACAGTCCATAGAGTGTTAGAAGATTTTTACATTTTGAAGAAGGGAAGCAAGTCTTTAAAAAAAATGGTTGAACTATTGAGAACTAACATATGATGAATTTAAAAGAGATATGTAAATTTGGGGTTGTGCTAGAGATTTGGATTCAGTTCAGTTTGGATATATGGTTAATTTTCAGGTCATCTAAAGCTTAAAATTAAAATTCTTTATTTCTAGCTTTTGAGTTCTCATTTTCCTAGTTATAAAACATTTAAAAATATGACTGTTGCTGTCATAAAACATCTACTAGATATCATCCAATATATAATTGATAATGCTGTAACTAGATAAACTCTAAAACTGCAACTTCTGACACATAGCCTTGCAAATAATATGAGTCCAACTACAGAATATAATGAAAGTATTTAGTTTATATTTCTATGTCCAAAATTTTCCAACTTAGTTTCCTTTATACACCCTTAGATCTATAAATTGACCAATTTAGGTGATTTATTTGAGTGTCCTATAGCTTTTCTGTATCTAACCCGGTCAGTCTGGGAATTTCTGTTTTCAATGTCCTTGAAAATGGCTTATGTGCTAACTTTTATTTCGGTTTAGAGAAGCCAGATGTGATTTGTGCTGGTCACAGACCAGTGGAAGTTAGAGTTCAGATCAGGATAACCGTACACACTCAGATCAGATTGTCCAGATCAAAACAGAACATCAGCCTTCAGTCTAGCTTTCTTGTGAAATTCTTACCTAAATCTAATTTTACTTCCACCGAGCCATGCGAGACTTGGCAGGCAGTAAGGTGTGTGGTGATACAAGGAAGTGAGACTCTTTGGAGCTTTTGCAAATAGTTCATGGTGAGGATAGGACTTTACTACCTGAAAAATAAAAGAGCATTTGCCAGTTTTAGGAATTTTAGCATGATAAGTATGCTCTGTTGCTCACATTCAAACTCAGCCAAACTAATGAACCCAAATAATAGGATATCTATTTAGGACATGTATGGATCACTTGTATTTAGATCTATTGATAGTTTTATTTGAATGTGTAAAAAACTTTGAAAGAGAAAGAATGTGTGTTTTTCCCCTTCCTTGACTATTAACAGATGTCATTGGAATGTAAACTCTTAAGTGTGAAATTATGAAAGGATGTCCTTTAATTCTTACCAGCTGAGTACCAGATGACTATAAAATTAAAAAAAAAATGGATGCAGTGAAACAACTTTTAAAGTAAACATTCTTTAAATAAAATTTTATGACCTATTGATAAACTATAATTCAATAATACATGGGTTTGTGATTTCTTAGTATTAGTGAAGTCTTGCATATGAATGCATTTGAATACATGCAATATTTGTTTTCAACAATTAGCACCCATTATGAGGTTTTAGGGAACATGAAATGTATCAAACAGGTCATTTGAAGAACACATATGAGCCTGACTACATGCTGTGGGTTACTTGTGTATTTTTTGTTTTCATATTGATAGCATCCAATTCCTTTATTTGATATTTTTGTATTAACACAGTATTTGTCATTATGCAGTATTTTAATACCTTTATAACTTTATTCCATTATTATGTTGAGTGTTTGATATATTTATTCCTTTTTGGTTTTAATTTCTAATATATTTCAACTTGAGAGTTTGAAACTGTGCTAAAAATGTATTTTTATATGGAATATGCTTGCCATTATGAAGAACAGTTGAGTATGCCTTTATCTCAGGCAGTAAATCTGAATTCATTCTATTAGTTTAAAATTTATAAAATTCAGAAGTTAAATTACATATATGATATGTAAACTGAACACATTTTCCATTTAATTGTGTTGGTTTTTCAATGTGATATATCCACAGTATTTTTTACTTTGCATTTATTTTTTCAGTGTGTTTACATTGTATGAATTGAGCTTTTGGCGAATAGATTCTTGATTTGTAGCTGCTTGGCCAGGAGTTTTGTTGTGCTGTAACCATCATTCCTATAAAAAATATGATATACATCTGTCCTGTGTGTTTGTCTTCATTTCACATGTTCTATAATATATATTTTAGATGAAGTTATAAAGAATAACAACTTACAAGTCTGTTATCTCATTCGCCATTATTGTTTTTAACAACTAGAGATCATTAGTTCTGATTTTCAGAGGGTCTCAGCAGATTCTTATTATGACCTAAGGCAGGTATGTTCTTAACAGTCAGCCACAATTATTTTAACTTTGTGTCTTATCTTGTCATAAAATAGTTATTTTAAATATCTTTGGACAAGCCATTTGGCTTATTTGATTTTATTTCAATTTATTTTTTATACTTGGGGCTTAACATTTCAGTTTGTAGAAACGTGATTTACTATAAAATATAAGGCATTGTTCAGAAATAGCTTTTTCCAATTACAGTAACCAATCTTAACTAAGAACTAAGTGCTTGCAGACACTATCACATTTATTTTAACCACAACACCATGAAGTAAGTGTTGAACTCATTTTTAACAGAGGAAGAAACTGAAAGGCAGCCATGTTAATGTACTTGTGTATGTTCACAGAATTAGAACTTAAACCTAACTGTCTTGTCCTACTTTTAAGCACTTAAACTGCTTCTCTCATGATTTTTGATGCATCTATTTTAGTCCAAAGCTAGTTAATTTCTGTTTGAGTTATGTCCCTTATTTTTAACCTTACACACTTGCATTTCTGCAAGCAGGACATAATGAAAATGAAAATTTTAATATAATTGAGCATTAAAATGTATCTTTTCTTTTAGCCTGAAACATTTGAACATCTTTTTACCAAGCATTCAGGATCAGTGACATTTGTTCCTCTTCTTTTGGAGCCTGAAAGCATTTCAGAAGATATCAGTGTTGATACATCTTGGAAAAATAAAGATGAGATGGTGCCAGCAACTATGGTCTCACTCCTTTTGACAACTCCAGATCTTGAAAAGGGTTCTATTTGTTTAAGTGACCAGTGTAACAGTGCTAACTTCTCTGAGGCTGAGTGCACAGAGGTAACCTGTGAGGACCAGAGCCAGAGACAGCCTTCTGTTAAGTATGCAACACTGGTCAGCAGCAATTCCAAATCAAGTGAAACTGATGACGATGAGCTGGGGCTTATCCATAGTTCCGTCAGCAAGTGCTTTTCTAGCAAAAATTCTCCATTGAGAGAGTCTTTCTCTAACAGCTCATGGGAGGTAGAGACCCAGGCACTTTTTCTTTTATCAGATCAGCATCCCGACATGATTTCGCCACACCTCTCATTCTCAGGATTGGATGAACTTTTGGAACTGGAAGGAAATTTCCCTGCAGAAAACCATAGTGAAAAGTCTGTCTACTATTTAGGAATCACCTCAATCAAAAAAAGGGAGAGTGATGTGTTTTTGACCGATGAGTCAGGAGTATTGTGCCCATTCCCAGCTCATTGTTTGCTCACTGACATCAGAGTCCTCCAAGACAGCTGCTCACACTTTGTAGAAAATCATTTCAGCTTAGAAACTTCTGGTAAGAAGACTTTTGTATCATACATGCCCCAATTTCAGACTTGCTCCACTCAGTCTCATAAGCTAATGGAAAACAAGATGTGTGACTTAACTGTGTAAGTTCACTCAAGAAACGTTCAGGTTTGCATTCTAGTGGATGATACAAAGTGTAATATATATTCCTTTACAGGTGTGGATGGGGGAGAGGAAAGAAAACTGTCAGAGTCTAGTGTGATAATGACTATTCCCAAATTATTGATGTTTGTCTGTTCTTTCTCAGTAATATAGACAAAAAATGTGAGAAAGACTTCATGAGCCTAGCAATATACATGAAGGCTTTGAATGTCTATTCATAAGCTATGATGGGAAAGTCTTGTTTTTAGTTAGAAATAAGCCTATCTTTTGTGAACATTAGACCTGTGAGGAAAGAACTAATCTTCTGTATTACAGCAACATCTGAAAGAAGACTTCAAACTAATACTTAAGAACTATAATTGTTGTCTCAAGGGTGTGTTTGTTTTACTCGAGTTGTCTTGTTGCCTTAATTCACACACATATACATTTACACTTAATAGGTATTCTTGTGTGTTTTGGAAGTATGTGATATATTTGTATCTTGTACAACCAGACTGTGTGATTTAAAGTAGGTACCTCATTAAATTTAGCTCTGGTTTAAAAGGTTACACTTTGGAAGACTGTCAAGTTAGCTAATCAGTATATTCCAAACCCAAGATACACCTGTCAGCGCGGCAATGCCCATGACCACCATTTTGAGGACAATCTGAGAAGATCTGAAAAGACAATGTCAATGTTAACTCTGTTCTCTAACATACATTGAAACAGTCACTTTCTGATCTAGTTAGATTACCAAATTTCACTCTGAAATCATTGTCTTTCCCATACCTACTTGCGTGCACAGTACTTTTCCCTCAGTTACAAAAGTCTCTCTTTATGTAAATCAACCTTTGTGCTAATGCTTTACATAGTCTCACTCAATTAAGTACTGCACCAATTGTATGAGGCAGGTGTCATATACTCCTAGTATACTGTTACACTCCTTTTAAGGATAAGGCTATGAAGTAATTTGCCCAAGGTTCAAGCGTTAACTGGTGATGGAACCAGAATTAAAATCTAAACTCACATCTTTTTAATGCTAGTGATTATGTTTGTAATTGTCATTCACTAGATTCAAAGAGAATCTAGTAAGAGGAAATAAATTACTGGATGAAGAATGAAGGGAAATTTGCACAGAGCTCATCTTTGGCTTTAAGATGAATACAAATTATTATTTATTTCAGCTTTTGGTAAAGCAAGAAAATTCAAAGATAGCATACTGGGCAACAAACTTTATTAAGAAACCTATACATTAGGTATTCAGTGTGAAGAAGTTTAAGACTATTCAGTGTCACCAACATAAATGCCTATATGTTACTAAACATTATACTTAAACTGAAACTAGACTCTGCTGGTTTTACTGTTACCCTAAGTAAATCTCTATGTTCCATCTCTATTCCAGTTGTGGTTTTATGAAATGATCAATTCTAAACAGTCAGAACAATCCCAAGTTCCAGTTAAAAGATATTTTTCACACTATGATTATTTGTCACTAAGAAATCATTGAAGCTGTCTCATGTAAGTATTGTTAAGATGTCTTAGGATCTCACACATTCAACTGATGACTCTCTTAAAGAAAAATGTAGAAGACCCACACTGTTCACTAGTCACTGTGACATCAAAGCCTTAGTTCTATGTAAAGATAAGGGAAGAAGGTTTTGCTTTCACTTATTTTACATGGTGTTGGAGATTTTGAAACAAATTATTATATGTAGTGAATTTTGGGCAAAATTGACATTTTTAATACATACTTATAGAATTTAGATCTTTGACTGAAGGTACAGTATAGAAGAGATAGAAAATTCGGTCTGAGGGAATGGCTCAAGTGGCAGAATGCCTGCTTAGAAGGGATAGAAAATTAAATTACTCTAATTTTAATTGGAGACTAATCACTGAGTATGTCCACTGTGACACAACATTTTCCTGTGGTCTAGGGCCCAGAACAACGAGAAAGAGAAACCGAGAGATGTTTCATTCAACTCAAAGGTGCACCAGGGTATGTATACACTGGAGTATTTTTGGAAGCCTCAGGACTACTATAGTTCTGCATGTCTGAGTTAAAGGAATTTAGTGACAGCACATTAACTTGAGATCATTGATACTATCCTAGTGCAGCTTCAGTTCCAAAAACAAGTCAACAAACACTTCTGAAATTCCTGAATGATGGTTGAATTGGCATAATTTAGCTTACTAGCATAGATAAACTTAGATAATATTGTTGCCAGTGTGCTAGAGTTCTGATTTCCACTTTTGAAAATTTACCTCAAAATTACTGTGTTTTGTTGGGTCACTGTAAAAATGATCTGATATTAAACAATAGAGTTTTACAAAATTGAGGGAAATTTAAAGATATTTTATATTTCTGAGTGGTTAGATACTCTCCTTTTCTTCTCAGGGCTTCTAGTTAAAGGGAGCAAGGAACAGAAATGCGGGTGTTGGATTATTTATTTATTTATTTTTGGTGCTGGGGATTGAACTCAGAGCCTCACACGTGCTAAGCCAGTTCTCTACCCACTGGGCTGTATCCCCATCCCTAGACTTAAAGTTATGCTAAATCTGAAATTTTGAATATTTCATTTAAAGGCCTTAAATTGTAGCATGAACCACTAATCAGTCTCCTTAAGTGTGAACTTGTTAAAAAGAAAGTCAGAAATTAATCATTATAGCTGTGGCTTCTAGTTAAAATAGTGTTTGAAGATAAATCATATCTCAAGGTTATCAGAGTGAAGTGCTCCTACCTTCAAACTCCTGAAAAACCATGAGGCACCCTTCACTAAGAAAAGGAGCCTCCTGTTGAAGCCCTATGTCCATTTGGAGATGAGCCGTAAGTTGACAAGAAGTACAGGAATAGATGTGCTTTTCTTTTTAAACCTGGTCTTCAAGTAACAGAAGGATTTAGACAAAGTTCCCAAACCACTGGGTGGTCCTGAACTTAGAATAAGTATTTATAACCCTAGTTATGGCATTCTTCTACTTCCTTTGATCTTTTCCCAATAAAACCCAACTCACTCTTCCAAATATCAAACACATGGTCACATTCTTTCAGTAATTTTGATATCAACTACTCAAAAGCTGAAGGAAGATACACTTTAGTCTGTAAGTATTGTTGAGATCTGTGCATATAGGTTTCCCATGTAGAGTAGACAACTCGCTTATCGATCAAGACATACTGCAGCCACAAAATTTTATTCCTGAACAATTAGTTTAAAATAGCAAATCACTCCTTTTTTAAAATTTATTTTATTTTTAAGATAGAATACATTAATAACATGAAGGAATTTAAGTGTGATAATTCCATACATAGTAAAGCACTTTTGCACCTATTCTCAATGTTGGTGGAACAACATAAAATACAAATTGTGTATTAGAACTGAGATATTGTTACATTTATTTTATGAGCATCAAGAAGTGATTTCCATGGGGTTTTGTACTGAATGAATTATTTTTATATAAAGTTTATTAATATTTATTTTGGAAAGCTGCTGAAAATGTCTATTTTTCAAAATTAATTGTGCTTAAGATATATGGCATATAATTTTGTGAGGATTTCTGAAAGGTTGTTTTAAATAACATGCTTATTTAATGAGACTGAACTTGAAAGATATTTAATTTTGTAACGAAACACCTATGCTATTGATGTTGTACTTTTGAAACCTGTTATTGAGTGGAATTCAGCACTCTGTTTAGCCACATTGGGTATGGTAATAAATGTTATAAATATAAGTGTCATGCTTCCCTGGTTGTTCTATAAAACTTTGTTTTACTTCGTCTTTATGTTTCCAAAGTTATAGAGAAAGTAGTGCAAGTTATGACCAGGTATTTTCATCTTTCTACCATTCAGAATCATAAGCAATCTTAAAATTTTGAAAAGTGAAAGTTCAAAGAATCATTATGAATTTAAGTTATTTTGAGTTATTTTATTCATTGTCCAATAAATAAAACAATAATGGTATTTTAACAAACATTTGAAAATACAAAGAAGTAATCCTTATAGTTTATGTGATAGTTAATATAGTCTTTGAAATATCTGCAAACACATGCCTTGCATTCAGAAGAAGTTTGAAACATTTTAGATACAAGTGCCTCTTTTTACTGTTACTGTCTGTAGATCAGGTCATCTGCACCAGATTCTTGCTGGCAGTATAGCCATATGAAATGAAAGATTGCTCATTTTGATCATCTGAGCTCTTTATGGCCAGGCATGAGGGCTCATTCCTCTAATCCCAGCTACTTGGGAGGCAGAATCAGGGGAGGACCCTAGGTCCTGTTAGACAGCCGGCGTGAGGGAGGAAATAGACCTTCCTGCGAGTGCAAGCCAAGTGGCAGACAGGACTTAATGCTCGGAAACAAGATGAAGTACAGGTGTGTCCCCTGTGCAACCGGCCCCTGGCAGGATCAGAGAAGCGGAGGAGTAGGCGTGTGGAGCCTGGGCTTCCTAAGAGGGGAGGCTCCCGCATGGCTGAGGATGATGTTTGGGCATCCGGCTTTGGGGAGTATGAGTGGTGTGGGCAGACGCGGATACCCACTACCATGCTCTTGAAAGGTGGCTTTTGAGACCCTGGCTTAATCATGTGCAGCTGCAAAGAGAACCTGAACAGTGATGCTAACTTGGATGAGGATGGGGATGACACTGATGACACAGAGGCTGATGTCACCCCCTGCAAGGGCAAGAAGCCTGGAGAAGCCAGGGAGAGAGAGAGAGAGAGAGGCACTCGGAGTGCAGTCCTAAATGGTGGCCCTCCCAGCATCCGCGTCACACCTGAGTTCTCTAAACGGGCCAGTGTTGAGATGCAATCCACCAGCAATGGTGAAAGCAGTAAGCAGGAGGCCATGCAGAAGACCTGCAAGAACACGGACATGGAGAAAAATCACTGAAGATTCAGCTGTAACCACATTAGAGGCACTGAAAACTCCGAACAGGGAGCTTGGATGGCAGCTCTCTCGGATCTTAGGGGGACTGGTACAAATGCCTCGTCTGTATGGAATCATGTTCAATGACCCTAACGTCAATCTAGTGTTGGCACAGGCACTGCAAGGAATGCCAAGAAGCTCTGTCCTCAGTGCAACACGATCACAGGGCCGGCAGGCTTTGCCTGGAGCAACCTCGCCTGCCCCAGCCTCTGTGACAGTGACCCGCTCCTCTTGTACATACTTGCACACAGGTTCCCCATGTACATATGTGCACATATGCACACACACACATATACACACACACGACTCGAGCCTACTGGCTCCCATCAAGCTTAGGAACCATATTCATTCTGGTCTCTTTCCAGTCAGGATGGAGCAGGGAG